TAACTTGTTTTCAAGATTTAATTGGTCTAATAAAAGTATTACTTTATAGCCAATGTAGTATAAAGCATGAAGTATCAGATGCCGAATCAAGACTTGGTTATAAATCCCGGCTCAACCAGGGAAAATCCTGGGGGTGGGGTGGCCACTTACAGGTCACCAAAAAAAGGAAAGGTGGAGGACTGTCCTACCTAAAAGAGCGTACGGCCACCTATACCAAATACTTTTATACCAATCTTATGTTAGTGGGATTCAATACAATAACGTGTTGGTTACCTTTTGCAAATCGGGGTGGTGGTGGCGGTGATGGTGGTGGAGGATGTGTAGCATTGAGGATAGACGCACACCCCAACAACAGTTTCCACCTTTCAGGGCCTGGCGGTCTAGCCTGCCCCAATTCTTTGCAAAAGATTAACCAGGAGAAGGAGCAGAACACTTGCTTCCTTCCTAAAATGTGTATCCCCAGAAGTCTAAAGTTACCAAGGACCAAAGATCAGAAGGCCACACAAGACGCTCCTGGACCTTGGAAGGCTGAACTCCTACCTCTGCCTCACCCACCCCATCGTGTTTTTTATTTGTAAACTAGAAGAGGGGAGGGCTCGCATCCCTCAGTGACCAAAAGTAACCGATACAAAGATTAAAACAGGTTGTAAGAGGGTCATGTGTTGCCGAGGGGGCACAAAACATGGCAAAAGCGCATCTGGAGGGCCCTTGGAAAGCACAAGAATTTCTGAGTCAAAAAGTCATTTGCTGTGACAAGACTTCCTGTTGTTTACAGGAAGTCTGTAAAATCCCTCTATGCAGTGGTTTCCAACCATGGGTCATCCAGGTGTTCTTGGGGCTGCAACCTGCTGAAGCCTTCACCCCCAGCTGTGCTGGCCGGGGTTTCTGTGCTGACCAACATCATCATCTACTTTTTATATTATGCCAGTTCTTGGAGGAGGTCAGTATTTTCAGCAGGTCCAGGAGGCAATTTTTTGTGTTGTTTCCCCCCACCCCAGGACTCCCTGTGAGTCACACCACAAAAACACCCTCCCAAAAAGGAGGGATGGAGAAGAAATGGAAAGAAACCAGAAGCCACTAGAAATCCACTTCCAGTTTTGAAAAATGGTTGGGTGTGTGTGTAGTGGGAGGACTTTTGGCCTGTTTAAAAAGCAAATCACCACCTCCTGGGGATTTCCGAGAGCTGCTGTTTACCTTTTTGGGAGCAGAAAAGGAATAGTCTCGGGGTGAAGTGGCTTCTGCTACAAAGAAAAAGCTGCTGTGCACTTTGCCCATTCCTGTCTGTGAGGGAAACCTTAATTTTAATCCTGCATTTTGCTGTGTCCATAAGCAACTGGTGGAGGTGCACGCAGGATTCTTGGACCTAACAAAAGTCCAGCTGGTTGAGACCCCTAAGGGCCTGTCTAGGCTGCCTTCTCATTTATTTTGTTGGCTAGTCAGACAAGTCTTTCAAGAAGATCGGAAGCAGTGTTGACAAATAGTGACCCAACTCTGTTTACTGGTCATGATCAGCTGCTTTCCATTACCATGGGAATCGGGGAGTGGGGGGATGGGGACGGGAAACTCCCTGCAATCCAGGGATAGGCAACTGTGCCCCCCTGGTTATATTTGGGTTGCATTTCCCAAATGTTGACTATGCTAGCTAGAACCAATGGAAGGTGTAGACCCACAACTTTGCTAGGACTGCACTTTGCCCCCCCTTACCTACAGAGTCAAAATAGTGACCCAACTCTGTTTACTGGTCAGGAGCAGCTGCTTTCCATGACCATGGGAATCGGGGAGTGGGGCTGGGGAGTGGGGAGAACAGGACACTCCCTGCAATTCAGGGATAGGCAACTGTGGCTCCCTGGTTATATTTGGTTTGCATTTCCCAAATGTTGACTATGCTAGCTAGAACTAATGGGAGGTGTAGACCCACAACTTTGCAAGGATTGCACTCCCCCCCCCCACCTCCTTACCTACAGAGTCGAACTTTTCTGCATCGACTGCACATCTGTTAGAGAGACGGGAATCAAGAGGAAGTGAGGAAGCAGCCATGTGCCTTCTTCTTTGTTTCTTTTTCAAAAGGAATTCTTTCGCAACTGTGGTTCCAGGGGAAAAGACTAAATCCCCCAGATAAGTCAGTGCCTCCTTTTTTAGCGGCTGACCAAGCTGGTGTCTTACCTACCACTCTGGCCCTGCAGCCAGGGCATGCATCTAATGTTGAGAATTCAGTCTATGCATTCTACTCCACGTACTGTACATCTAGCCTTGTTCCCACTCTGGAAATGTTAGGAGAAATCTGTGAGCATTGCAAGAATGAAATATTGAAAAAAACCAAGGGCAAATCGGATTGACTTCTGGGAAGAAGTATAGGTCTGTCTACCCCCATAGCTTTGATGTAATGTGGGATGTGTCCCTGTATTGTTTGCTGCAATCAAGGCCTGTGATGAGGTGCTAATGATCTTCAGCTTGCAGCTCTTTTGCATCCTTGTAGTGATGCTAAGTGCCTATAATTAAAATGGCATTTGGAAACAGAATTGCTGTCAAGAGTACATTTTGATGTATAGAAGCCATTTGAGTGAGACTTTTGCTTCATTGCCAAGCAGTAGAATAGCTATCAGAAGGCAATCTCTAAACTGCAATATCATTTGATGATGATTTTGTTAGACAGCTCAACACAGGATGTATGGCTCTCTTGCTACTCATATTCTCTTTAAATAGCTGTGTGTGATGAGACAGGCTAGGCTGAGAGACAAAGATTCTGACCCACAATCAATTGCCCAGTGAGTTTCATGGTGGAGAGGAGATCTGTGCCTGAACCTCCTGAGTCCTGGTCTGACACTGTGTCCGCTACAACGCACTGTTTTATATTTTCTCTCCTCTACTGGCCATTGCAGATGATAGCTGGGAAATGGACAAGTTATTGCTCAGGAGTAATTATATTTATAAAATCAGTTTGATAGCACTTTACATGTTTTTCCTACTTCTTATATGCAGCTGGGAAGAAGCTACATCGGGATCTGTGGTAAACTGGCAAAGGATTATCACTCCTAAGGTGGTGAATTGATAATATATCAGTAGCAAGACAGAGACAGACACAAACTGACTTTAGCCTGCTAAAATGAAGAAAACCATGTGCTGTGAACACAACTATGAAGACAAAACAGTTCTTTCCCATCCATTCTATGATGTCTCCCTCCTCCATCTTCTTTATGTGGATATGACTTTGGTAAATCTCAACAGTCAAGTTTAAAATGTCCAGATAAATTCTGCAAGCTGGTAGACAGTCCAGCCTGAAACAGTGAGATGAAATCAGCATTAGATCACTAGGAAGAATAGTGATCTTCCTAGATCCAGGACTATTTTCTTGACATTTGTCACTCCATGCTAAATCATGATGAAGATTCTTAGAGCCATCTCAACCTGTGTGCGCTATAATCTCTCACTGAGATCAGTGTTTATTTCAGTGTAGACCTTCCTTTCAGTAACTGGAGGTGTCAAAGCCATGCAAATAGCAGGAATAAATCATCTCAAGCAGCCTCCTCCAACTTTATCTTCCATATATTTTGAACTACAACTCCCATTAACTCCAGCCAACAGTGCCATGTTCAAGGTTGATGGGAGTCATGGCACAGCACATCTGGAGAACACTAGATTGGGAAAGATTTGTTCTAAAATTATTGACTTTGGGAACTAATAGTTCCTAATACTTATCAGCATCCTCAACTTCCACCACAGTTTGCACTATGTTGTAATGCACACAGTGACGATTATTTACTGACCTTGTGATGTACTCTTCCCCCAAGACATAAAGGCTAAAGTTACTTATTCACCCAAGCTGACCTCAATTCTCCCTTGTCCTGCAGTAGCTAAATTGGGCATGGCAATAGAGTTGTGGCAAGAAAGAAGTGTGTGTGTGTGTGCGCGCACGCACACGAGCTGTATGTGTTGGAGATTGATGATGCTATGTTGGACCATCAACTCTCTGTGCCAGCAATCAAAGATTTGGGGAGTGCTGCCTGAAAGAACTTCAGTCAACTAAATATAAAGCTGCAGTAGGAATGGCAAGAGGTGTCGGATTAGGTGCCAGAGGTCCTTTGGAGAAGAAGTCCTCCAACAGGGGTTCTCAGCTTCCTATCCCTGGGGATTGGAGGGGCTGAAAGAGCTGAAAGTATCTGAGGCCCACTGGTTACAGAATATTAGTACAGAGGCAAAACTATGAAGATGATGGTGGCAGACACAGGCAGAGTTTAGCATCATTAGCCGACCATTGCTAACACCGTTTTACAGTGATATCTGGCCAGCGCCATTGTTGAAGATGGTGTGTGGGGTAAAATCAGGCCCCCTTCCCTCACCAGAGCTAATCCTTCTTTCAAAATGGCAGCCTTTTTCGCAACAATTATCTCCTAGAGTGAGTTTCTAGTTCAGCTCACCTTAAAGCAAGTACAGACATTGCCTTAGGGGGTATATGGCAGGCACAGCCTTCTCATTTCAGGCAGAACTTGCTGATCTTGGGGCTTTAAGTAAATCATACTTCTTTTTAAAAAATCGCCTTCCCCATCTTGTCATTTCTTTTTCGCATTATGTTTTCACATGCAGCCTGTATGTAGCCCGCCCCCAGCTGCCAGTTTCTTTATAAACTTCATAACATTTTTTAAAAAGTTTAGGCCGCCTTTTGAGACAAAGCCAATTGAGTTTACAAAGTGCGTAACAAGAAAATAGGAGACCAAGTTAACAACTGTTCACTTCATGTCTTCACATTTCCCCCCCTTCTGAAATGCTCCATCATTGTGCCTGCCTGTCATCTATTTCCTTCCTTTCTCCTCTGCCCTTTCCCTTTTCCCTGACATTGTATGCCACAGCCTTCTGGTCTAATCAGCCCCCACCACCACTCCTGTCTATGCCTGTGCAGTGCTCTCCTCTGATGATGGCCTTTAGAGAATTATATTCACCTGGTCTAAAAGGGATTTACCTGCTCTGAATACACTTCCGCTAACTATGGATCAGAATAACCTTACCTCTGCAAGACTTGCTGCTTCTCAAGAGTTCAGATTCACCTGCCATTGAGGTAAGCTAGCCTCTTCTTATGGAGGAAGACAGGAGTAGAATCTAAACTCTGGCGATTGTGGGTTTCCTCCAAAGAAGTATGCACCAGATTCGTTTATTTAAAAATCATTTCCCTGCCAGCTGGCTTTTACCCAGAACAGAAATGCAGATATGTGATTGAGGGTCACGATTATCTACTTGCCAAAATGTTTCATAAACCCAGTAAGATGCCAGTTGGTAAGCATACCTTGGGAAAATTTAATTTTTAACCACAGCTCTCAAGCAAGGCTGCAACTGGCTTACGTTCTTGTTGTTGTTATGTGCCATCGGGTCACCTCCAACTAATGGTGATCCTATGAATCAGAGATCTCCAAAATGTCCTGTCCTTACCCACCCTGCTCAGCATTTGCAGGCTCAAGCCCATGGCCTCTTATATGGAATCAGTCCATCTCATAGCTGGCCTTCCTCTATTCCTGCTGCCTTCCATCTTTCTCAGCATTATCATATTTTCCACAGGACCCTGCCTTCCCATGATGTGTTCAAAGTTGGACAATCTCACTTCAATATTTTTAACTTCAGAGGTAGTTCAAGCTTGATTTGATCTAAGACCCACTTGTTCGTCTTTCTGGAGGCCCAGAGTTATGCACTAAGCTCTCCTCCAGTACCACATTTCAGCTTTCTTAACTGTCCAAGTCACATTTAGCTTGGGGATTTTAAGAGATCTGAGCCAAAGAGGTAATTTTTCAAAGGCTTGTTAATAAGCATGCATTAGAAAGTAAACAAGTGAACCCTGCTGTTACCTTTGTTTATCTGACCTCTTATCAGAGCTCCATGTACTGTAATCTGGTACAGAGATGATCAGTTTATTAGAAATAAGTGAATATCTAGAGCTTCTGCGGTAGCAAAAAAACACCTTAGAATAGACTCCTCCCCTTTGGTATAAGTATCTTGGCGCCAGGACTCTCCCTTCAGTTGTGTCAACTGCCGCAAGGAAAAAAAATTGCATGGCGTGACAGAGGGGAGGTTGCGTGGGATGTGTGAATCACAGAGATCCATTCGAAGAACTACAATTAACCTGCCGCTCTTCTTAGTGGGCTCTGTAAATCACACTGTGGGTGACTAGCAAGGTGTCTTACCCGGAGGTAGGGTGTCACGCCAAGATGGAAGCCAAAACAGCATGTCTGAATGCCTCACCAGACTTCTGTCAAACATCTAGTCTATTATGCCAGACAAAGCTAGATGGTTGTGCCCACATAGCCAAGGCACAGATGTCGGGGAGAGGCACACTACGTAGGAATGCTGTAGAGGCTGCCAACACCCTGGTGGAATGAGGGCGAATGGCTTGAGGGATTGGCTGTCAAGCAATCTGGTATGCAAGCCAAATAGTAGAGGCAACCCAGTGAGAGATCATCTGTGAGGTGACTTGTAGGCCTTTGTTAGGAAGTTGATGACTGACAAAATGGCATGGGGAACGTCAAAAGGGTTGTGCATGCAACAAATAAAAGGAGAGGGTCCTCCTGACGTTCAAAGTATGAAGAAGTCGTTCATGGGTTGTGGATGGTGACAGAAAGAAAGATGGGAGGACCAGTGGTTGAGAGAGATGAAACTGAGACACCACTTTAGGGAGGAAGGAGACATCGAGGAACAGCTTTATCAGGATAGAATTGTATATAAGGATAATCATGGCATAGGGCCGCAAGGTTGCTTGCTCGGCGAACTGAAGTAATTGCAACAAGAAAGGCCATTTTGAAGGAAAGTAGACGGAGATCTGCTGAGGCTAGCGGTTTGAACTGAGGTTTAGTGAGTTGTCGCAAGAGGACATTTGTGGTGAGGGCAGGTGAATGTCTGGGTAAGCGTGTGACAATTCCTTAAGAAAGCACTTGAGTGTGGGATGTCTGAAAAATTGAGCCGCTGGAAAGGTCAGTGGTTGGTATGAGATGATTGCTGAGAGATAGACTCTAATAGACGAGAAAGAAAGACCAGAAGATTTGAGATGGAGCAAATATCAGAGAACCGTGGAGAGATGGTTGGCAGGAAGGGAAAGAGCTGTAGTAAAAGATTGATTTTTTCCCCCATTTATACAGGTAAGCTTTTCTAATTGAGGGCTTCTTTGTTTGATGGAGAATATCCATCAAGGAGGGAGAATCCTCCACGCTGCCAAGTTCAGAGCAGGTAAGTTGGGATGAAGGATCCGGGAGTTGTTCTGCATGAGGAGGTGTAATAAGCAGGGGAGGTGATAGACATCAGAGGACAGGTGGTGTAGCACTGGGAACCAGGGCTGTCTCGGCCACCAAGGAGCAATAAGAATGGCTGGACAGGTGGTGTAGCACTGGGAACCAGGGTTGTCTCGGCCACCAAAGAGCAATAAGAATGGCATTGGGTTTGTCCTGTTGTATTCGGACAATTACCCTGTGGAGGAGCAGGAATGGTGGGAAGAGGTATGTAAGGGTCTTGGGCCAGCGGCCAACAAACGCATCTCCTCAGGAGTGTTTGCCGATCCTGGCACGGGAGCAATAGCGCTTGCATTTCTGATTCTTGTGGGAGGCAAAAATGTCTAGAGTTGGTTTTCCTCATCTTTTGCACAGGCAGAGGAAAACTGTTTGATCTAATTCCCACTCGTGGGGTTGTGAGTTTGTGTGGCTGTTACTTTCTTTCTTTAACCCTTGATGAAGTGTTCACAAGACTAAATGAAATCTCAAGTGCATTTGATAGTGCAATAACGTCACTCCTAACCTTAGGTTTGGGGAACCTCTACCCCAGTGGTCAGGGAACAGGGGTAAATTACCCTAAATGGGATAAAAATGAAAATCCTGGGGGTAATGAGGATGTGACTCTAACCCCCTTCCCTCCTCCTCCTCCTCTGCCCGGAGAGGGGTCCCCAGCTGTCTGATCACCCCCTTCCTGCCCCCTTCTCCAGCTCGGCTGCAAACGAGCCATGGCAGATGGCAGCCAGTGACGGGCCCCGGTCAGCTGTGTATGGCAGCCAAGGCAGCAGCGGCGGCAGGGCCAACCATGGTGGAGCCTCTCCTTCCAGTGCCTGTAGAAGTGGATCACAGTCTAGGGGGGCAGGCATGGCCACGACAATGGCCTGGGCCAGGCTCAGCTTTACAGTGCCAGGATGCCGCCCCGTGCCCCGTCCCCATCCGAGCCCGTCGGGGTCTGGCAGAGCCTCTCGCACTCCATGCGGCAGTTGTTGTGGCGCTTTGACGGTGAGGCCCGTGGGAGTCCTGACTCCAAGGTCCGATGCGACCCCCCTGGTGAGCAGCCGCTTGAGCCGGTGCCGGAGCGGGACGTGGCGTCAGGCGTCCCCGGTGGGCGAGCCACCTGCTGCTCTTTGAGAAAAAGGGAGCCGCCCCTGCAGGGCCAAGGACTGAGCGCAGCCCCACCAGGCAGAGGAGGTGGAGGCGGCCTGGGCACAGGTGGCGAGGCTTCGGCGACACACTCGACTGGCTGCACGTGACCAAGATCCTTCCTTTCAAATTAAGGGGGTAATGTCGGCGTATATAAATTTTTTAGGGGGTAAAAGGTAAAAAAGTTCCCTAACCCCTGCCATAGGTCGAGCGCCAAATAGAGGAGGCTTGGGGAGTGTGTGCCTCCTTGTTTGAGAATATAGTACATGGCTGTGGTGTTGTCAGTGGCAATCTGGACCACCTTGCAGTTAGAATGTTTCGGAATGCTTTACATGCCTTTATTACCGCTAATAGTTCTAACTCGCTGATGTGAAGTGAAAGTTCTCTGTGGGACCAATCGGCGTGTATTTTGAGAGAGCCACAATGTGCTCCCCAGCCAGTAAGGCTGGCATCAGTTGTAACCGGTATTTGAGGACGTGATTGCTGTAAAGGGCATCCCATAGAGAGATTTGGGACGATGCGCCACCATTGGAGTTGTGAAGTCAGTTTGGGAGTAACTCTTAAAGTGTTGGGAGGATCTGTCAGTGGGTCAAAAAGTGAGAGAAACCACGATTGTAGAGACCTCATCTTCAGGCGTACGTGCTGTACGACTGAAGCCATGGAGGCCATGGTGCCTAGTACACGTTGGACGAGGATGGCAGGAATCAAAGCACGGGGGGGTGAAACCTTGGAGAAGGGAGATGAAGTTTTGTTGTTTGTCGAGCTCAGGTGGAATCTATGGAAGCCCCGATATAATTAATAATCCTTGTAGGGCTCATTTTGGATTTCTGCATGTTGACCGTGAGACCGAGATCGCAAAGGAGGATAAAAGCTTGGATTCGGTAGTGCACCTTCTGAAACATGTGCAAACTTTATTTGGTTTTGTTCTGAGTCTTCGTTAATTTTTGGTGATTTTTTGTTTTCCCCATTTAAATCCATTGAACTGTCCGTTCAATGGATTTAAATGGGGAAAACAAAAAATCACCAAAAATTAACGAAGACTCAGAACAAAACCAAATAAAGTTTGCACATGTTTCAGAAGGTGCACTACCGAATCCAAGCTTTTAAAACAGGTTTCAAACATCTTAAGACACTTAAAAATGAGCAAAAACGGACATCGTTAAGTGAAATTCCCCCATAGAGAACATCGTGAAACGATGGGGAAATTTCCTCAAAGAAACCCATCGCAAAGTGAATACATCATTAAACGAAGGAATCACTAAGCGAGGCACCACTGTAACAAGAGAAAAAAATGTTGGTGTTTTGTTGTATAGGATCTATTGCATCCTTGATGAGTAAATTTCTTATCTCTTCTTGTAGAGTTTAGGATGGTGGAGTGACAATGTGATGCAACGGAGGGAGTTGGAAATGGATGTAGTATCCGTTTTGGACAATGGAAAGAACCCAGGTGTTGGTGGTGATGGATTGCCAGGCAAGTAAGTGTTTCCAGAGGAAAGGGGGTTGATTTACAATCTCGGTCGGAAAAACGTCAAACATGATATTTGGGTTTGCGGTCATTGCGCCTTTGGATAGGTTGCTGGTGAGGGTTTTGTTTGTATTGTTGTTTAAAGTATGGTGTGTAGAAGTTCTGACATTGGGATTCATGTTAGAACCGAGCCTGGAGTCAAT